TAATGACTCTGCTTCAGGAGTTAGTGCTGATCACCATTGTGCAATTAACTAGGCGCTTCTTTGTCTCTCCTGAGCTGTCAAACGCTCCCAGGGTCTCCTGCGCTCAGCTGGTTCAGGAGATGCTGGTGGTGACCGACACTCTGATCTCTGTTCCATTTATTTCATGTCCTGCTAGAATGAGCAACCCTAGTTTCCTGCTGCTTCTCTTGCTGGCTCTGCCTCTAAATCCAGTAGCTCTAACGGGCATTCCATCAGTGCAGGGCCTGACTCGCCCGTTTCCTCGGAGGAGGAGGCAGTTGGCTGGTTCATGACAATACCATTCATGGGCCTCCTGCCCGTACAGCTCTGCAAAGCTCGCAGCAGTTGAGTGGAGGGCTGCTTTCACCCCGGATGCAACACTGCATACTTTTTTCTGTCTCCCTGCAGGCTGGGACTGGATGGCTTGAAGATGCAGGTAAAGCACCGGCAGCCAAAGGAAAAGAGTTTCATCTTCTATTTCTTCTTCTTTCTCTTCTTTCTGGAGGGGCGATCTGAGTAAGGGGGGGGCTGGGAAGGAAGGGGGTTTGTCTCTCCTGAGCTGTCAAACGCTCCCAGGGTCTCCTGCGCTCAGCTGGTTCAGGAGATGCTGGTGGTGACCGACACTCTGATCTCTGTTCCATTTATTTCATGTCCTGCTAGAATGAGCAACCCTAGTTTCCTGCTGCTTCTCTTGCTGGCTCTGCCTCTAAATCCAGTAGCTCTAACGGGCATTCCATCAGTGCAGGGCCTGACTCGCCCGTTTCCTCGGAGGAGGAGGCAGTTGGCCGGTTCATGACAATACTGTTCATGGGCCTCCTGCCCATACAGCTCTGCAAAGCTCGCAGCAGTTGAGTGGAGGGCTGCTTTCACCCCGGATGCAACACTGCATACTTTTTTCTGTCTCCCTGCAGGCTGGGACTGGATGGCTTGAAGATGCAGGTAAAGCACCGGCAGCCAAAGGAAAAGAGTTTCATCTTCTATTTCTTCTTCTTTCTCTTCTTTCTGGAGGGGCGATCTGAGTAAGGGGGGGGCTGGGAAGGAAGGGGGCCGCATCCTTTCCCCCACCCTCCATTTCTCTGTACCCAAGTGCTGCTTTTTTCCTCGACTGCAAATGGGGGGAAGGGGAGCCTCTGGGGAAGAAGCAGGGAAAA